CTATTGTATAAAATATCTCTCATCCTTCAAATAGTTAAAATTCCGGGTAAGCAGCGGCCTGTTCTCAACTAATGGCCACGGGGAAAAAAAGAAGTGATGAGCACAAAAATGGCGCGATTGCTTGAAAAGTAGAACATTCATGGCTTTAGCAAACAATCACCTCACAAGTTTCAACGAACTTGGTGGAAGTGCCGGTAGCAGATATTGTTCTACATCTTGAGCAGGTACCACCCAATCGAGGTCCGCATAGAAAAGATATATGTTGGCTTGCACCTGGCTAATGTCGTACTCTGGTGTTGTGGACTGAATTGAATATACTGTACAAATGGCCTCAAAAGCTCTAAACTCCACTTTATCTTGATTTTCAGCTAAAGCATCTTGAACGCAATGAAAATCATGTCATATTACAGTAAATAAGCTGACCGTTCCGTAGTGTCGAAGATTTTCCTCTGGTCCATAATCGTATGAGGCCATTCGACTAGTACGAAGCATTTGCGCATAATGACGCATATTCCTCGTTGATGTTCCCGCTGGACCGTGTGATAAGTAGACAGCCGTTCTTGACTTAACCTTGTTATCATGAATTCCTAACTCGTCAAAATTAAAAACACTCACTGAATTGAAGTGATCAGTTTTGGGTCCATTTACATAGGCGAGGAAATCTTCACACATTGGATTGGTAACAGGATTATTACACATAGCTTGTGCTATTGGCCGCGTAAGGTCATAGAAATAAATCCCCGTATCTCCAAGCAGTTGGTAAAATAGCTGAAAAAGTTGAAATTAAGCCTGAGTCAAACTGTAAGGTTTCACAAAGTCAAAGTAAAGGCTTAAAGCTAACGGTAGTTAGTTCATAGTTTTGTTTGAAGTGATGATACATTGCTCCTTCAACATGAAACGTCCTATACGCCGGCGCAAGAGCGAAAAATTTTCGAATCTGAAAAAGCATCGAGTAATGTATGTAAAATAAAACATGGACAGGATTTTGTTTGAAAGCGAGATAAAAATTATATCCTTGGCCTATAGTGGCTTAGCAGAAAATTTTTGAAAGGAGATAGGGAATTAATAGCGGAAAAGAATTGGCTTGGGGTACACTTTTGTGTCAGAAAAACCAAAGAACCAATTAATTGTTGGAAAATTCTTGGTAATGATGCTGAT